CAAGTCCAAATCGACAAATCCAGCAATCGCTAATCAAAAACCATTGAAAAATGCAAATAAACTATCYAARGACTACAAAATCTCARCGTAKAMARTCAAAACGATGAAATCGAGATCTAGATCTAGAAATCGRAAWTCCAAATCAACATATCTAGATCTATAAATCGAAATATCGCGAATCGCGAATCAAATTACCTTTACTTTGATCATCGTCACTTAAAAAGCTTCGATCGTCGTCGTCTCTAAAAAAAACTCAATCTTCGTCTCTAAAGATCCTTCGAGGCGATTCTGTTTGGGAGATGAAACGAAAGGGATCGCGTTATTGTGAAAGGGGCAAAGTTGTCTAAACGGACAAAATGTGTGACATAATTGTAAAAAGGCTTCCCAGACGTAGCATACTTGTAAAAAATGACCATATTTGTGGTATTTTCGTAATTCTCCATTATTTTAAATAAATCATCTCAAAACAAATAATTCTCTCACTCTATGATAACTAGTTTTCTATGTTAATCAATACCCTACACTTCTTTTATATGAGCACTACCATAAACTTGTTATCATTTGCATCCTTTGTTAATTTTCTTCATGTTGTTTTTGTAGAAAACATGATCATTTCTGACTTATGCATATGTTGATTATGATATGAATTGCTATGAATCGTAATTATCGTTGTGTATCATTGTCTACTCGTCTTAGCTTGCGTCTATTTTTTTTGTTTTAAGCAAGCCTAATTTTTTTTATTAAAAAAAGCAAGCCTAAAGTGAATTCTAGAAAATTGGAAAATATACTATTTGAACACTTTAAAGAAAAATATAAAAAGATATTACCTTATATAGAAGAAAGAAAGTTAATACAAATTCATATCAATCAATACATTATAAAATCAACAACAATCCATAAAATTTTATAAAATCTCACAATTTTTAAAATTCATATATTCTACCAGAATCCATCAATGAATAATGAATTAGCACAACAATGTAAACAACTGATAACAAACAAATACTATAAAATCTTCCAAATTTTAGATGCTTCGGTTTGTAACTTTTTAGCTTTTATATTATTACTTTTTTGTATTATTTATATGATAATATCAAAACAACTACTAAACAAAGAAGGAATCCAAAATATATCTGGAATCAGAAATCATTATTTTGTACTTATGAGAAAACTATATATACGTATAGTCTCAATTCTACCTCTTCACATAATTATCTTCCTTGTTGATCAACGAACCCATCAAAGACAATCTCTATTTCTCTTTTAGATTCTCTCTTCGGCATTCCATCGAACACATGGCGAACACACAATACCACCAAAACGGAGGCCTTTACGGACCGCCAATCCAAGCTCCGGTGAAAACCTACCACAGTCACGGTCGACGCGGCGGTGGCACAGGTTGCGGAATCTGTAACTGCTGCTTCGATTGCCTCGTTTGTTGCGGTAGTTGTCTCGTAAGCATCGTCTGCAATATCCTCATTGGTGTAGCTGTTTTCCTTGGAGTCGTCGCTTTAATCCTCTGGTTTATCTTCCGACCAAACGTCGTGAAATTCCAAGTCGCAGAAGCCAATTTAACGCGATTCGAATTCGACACACAAAGCAATAACCTCCATTACAATCTCTCGATGAAGTTCTCCATCCGTAACCCTAACCAACGTCTCGGGATTCGCTACGAGCAGTTAGAAGCGAAGGGTTACTACGGGGACCAGCGATTCGCCGCCGTGAATATGCCGTCGTTTTACCAGGGACAGAAGAATACGACGGTGGTCGGAACAGAGTTTAATGGACAGAGTCTGGTTTTGTTAGGTCACGGTGGCCGGAGCGATCTAAGGGAAGATCAGAAGTCTGGGGTTTACAGGATCGACTTGAAGCTAAGGTTTAAGATAAGGTTTAAGTTTGGGCTTTTAAACTCATGGGCCTTTAGGCCCAAGATTAAATGTCATCTAAAGGTTCCGTTGAGTTCCTCTAGTTCTAGCGGAGGGTTTCAGTTTCATCCCACCAAGTGCCACGTTGACCTCTGACCAATTTTCAGA